ACCATCACTTCTCATTGACTGTTTGTTCATCTGTCTTTGGCCTCTCCCCCACCATATCCATATTCTTCCTGCTACCAAGAACAGTCTCTAAACAAACAAGGGTTACTTTGTTTTCAGGAAATTGCAGTAGAGGCCATTTGCTTTGAGTTCGCATGGGAATTGAGGATTTGAGGACCAATCACATGGTTTGGAGAAGTCACTGTATAAAATCCAATATAGAATTACGCACAATAGTAAATCAGTTACTGAGAAGTGGTAAAGTCCTATTTTATGGTATCCTTTTTTTTTTTTTTTAAATGCTATCCCCCCAAATACATGTCTTCATGTTGTAGAAGCTGAGATACTAAGACTTTTTGGCTACCCTTTTCTTAACATGTGACTTGATGATTTCCCTTTCTAACCATGAACCTGAGGTTTCTGAATCTTCCTCGGTTTCAATAGTTTGCTGATGGTTGCCTGGGTTTCTACTTAGACCTTCAAAGCACACAGACTGATTATACATGTCATAGATGAGAAGCAGCCTACTTCTCTGATAGCCCCTAGGTCCTTCCTCAAACTACTGTTTGGCCTATAATTTCATATTCCAGTGATCCAAGACAAATCTTAAAAGGCATTCCATTTTCTTTTTCTTTTAAAGCCACCAGTGAAGATTATAAGCTGCTGGAAAATATGAATAAGCTCACCAGCTTGAAGTATCTTGAAATGAAAGATATTGCTATAAATATTAGTAGAAACTTAAAAGACTTAAACCAGAAGTGTAAGTAATGTTTTTATAATTAACTGTATTTGTATTTAATGTCCTTTTGTGCTTAGGGCTGTGAAGAAGGGGTGGGAACATGGGCTCTGTCCTTAGGGAGCTCATTTTCTGAAAATGAATTACAAAGTCAAGGTGAGTTTCTTCCATTCTGAGGATCAGCATGCTTTGATGGCATGGTTATTTCTGTCTTTGAATCTTAATCTTATCAGTTTATTCTGGGAAAGGGAGAGGGGAGAGGGCAGAGGAGGGGTGATCTGATTCTAGTGAATTGATTTAATGATGAAGTCTGTAAAGGAGTACTCTGGAAACAGAAAATCTGTAAATGAAAAATGCTAATTTAGAATGGTGGATTACATTTTTGCTTGACTTATATTTGTGTTCACTATCTCCAAAGGCACTCTTTCTTTGTCTGAGAACACTCAAGAAACTGGAAAGATTGCTGGAGGAGCAAGGAATTAAAAAGAAAAGAACATGAGTTATGAAAGAGATTGACTTTGTCTGGGTCAGGGTTGTCCCTGATCAGCTAGCTTCTAAAACATCTGCCCTGCTAGTGATCAGAATGATGTCAGTCTACTTGGTCTTTCTTAGGCAGAGACACTTTCTTAGGTAGAGAAACTGGCATTCTTACTTTTCCACCTTTTTTCTACACTCCTTATTGATCCCATGCTAACACATGGCTTGTCTTTGTTTTGAAAGATGCTGGACTGCAGCCTTATTTGGATCAGATCAATTTAATTGAGGAGCAGGTAGCAGCCCTTGAGCAGGCAGCCTACAAGTTGGATGCGTATTCAAAAAAACTGGGTAATTTTTAATTTTTATTTTTGTTTGATAAAGTGTACTCCCTGCCAATATGTCTCTAGCTAAATAAGAACAGTTAACATTATGGCATGTCTACAGTATTCTATCTTTTAATTTTCATGAAAACCCAGTGAAAGCAAATTATTATTATTATTATTATTAATAATAACAGAAATAACATTTCCTGAGTACTTAGTGATGTATCAGGCAGTGTTCTTAGTGCTTCACATGTATTATGTTTTTACCCTCTCAATAATCTATGTGGTAAGTACACAGTTTTCATCCCCATTCTACAGGGCAGAACATTGTGGTTTAAGGGGTTCAATGACCTGTTCACAGAGTTAGTACACAAAGGAGCCATATTTAAGCTAGGTCTGTTTAACCACAAAGCTCAAGCTCTTGATCATGGTTCAGCAGACTGAAGCATCTTTCATAATGTTAGGAACACAGGTTTTACTAAGCAGAAACTGGCTAAATGAAGGGTTTTCTTGAAGGATTCATTTTCCTTTAAGAAGGAAACTGGTAACTTTCAGTGTTTACTCAACTGGTTCTGACTCATATCCACGATTAAAAATGTTGAATTTATTTTTATCCTAGATATAATTTATTGATTATTTTCATCCTTAATAATTGCTAACTACTTAAAGAGAGTGGTTTGTAGCAGGCTGAGATTTGATATAGGTGGTGATTAACGGTTTCATTGTTAATTCATTCCACACTTATATTTAGTAAATGGTTACTGTGAACCTTAACTATGGAGAAGGCATGTTGCCAGGTGCTTTTGAGGTTTTAAAAGAAAAAGGGAATCTATTATACTAAGAAGCTTATTTGATGGCCTTTTAAAACTCTACATCTTTCAAAATTGGTTTCCTAGAGTGAGGTGTAGGAATAAGACAATAAAAGGAGAAAAATACATTTATACTTGCTGAGCATTTCAGCCTGGCTCCCAGAGGGTGCCTGGGGGTCGTCAGGCAAAAGCAGTTTCCTGTGCTCAGGGCTCAGTAGGTCAAGTACAAGGAGGTCTGCTTCATCCTGGGGGAGCTGTCTGGGCGGTGCTGTCGACAGGATGAGAGCCTAGTGAAATTGTGCTGGCTTCTCAGTTCTGTGTGTAGTGTACACTTGGCTCCTTGTGTTAACTTGAGTTACACTGATGATCCATTGGGACAGGTGATGAGATTGAAGCCAATCAATTTTTTTTAAAAAATAGAATAAGTAGTTTTGAAATTTTCCTGGAAATGCTAACTAGAAAAGTCTCTTTATAAGAGCCAGTTTAAAAAGAGATAACTTACTTTCCTCCTCTTCTTTGGCAGAAGCCAAGTACAAGAAGCTGGAGAAGCGATGATAAACCTATTCCTATGGGACAGTCTTTTTTTAATGTATAAGAATGGTGTGTAAGAGCTGAATCCTGGGGCTGATGGAATTGTCAAAACTCCTCAAAAGGAGACTGTGCTGGAACATCCCACCACTGGAGTAAACTGGAGGGTTACGGCTACTCCTGGACTTGCTTTGAGGCAGTAGCCCTCAGAACTCACACTTACAACTCCTTTACTTTCTACTTGACTGCTTCACCATCTGTTCAGGACAGAGACTCGAAGTTCAGAATAAACCTGGGCTTGCTAGTAGAACCCAGTGAGAGGACCTGCTTTCTCTGGTAGTGGTTGAATACTTTGTTATTTTCTTAAATGGCCGGTCTTTTAAGTTACTGTATAAATGGTTGTTTTTGCTGTTAATGATGCTAATGTATTATTAACAAGACTCTAAATTAAAAAAGGAAAATAAAACAAACTTGTCCTTTGCAGTTTATCACCTTGTGAGTGTCAGTAATTCACTTTTCCAAAACATTGCAAATAACAGAGCATCTTAAAATAATTCTAGGCCGAGTCTTCTAGAATGAGCAGAAACAGAAAAAGGAGTGTTGTGATGATAGCCTGGTGTATGTGATGGGCCCCTCCTGTCTCTTCCCTGTGTGCATCACATGTCTGGGGATGGATAATTGACGTATGCCCCTTTTTGGAAATGCAATAAAGACCAAGATAAGATAGGTATGTGTTAGATGAGGAGATGGGGGCTGCCATTCATAAAATCAAGCATTTTAGGAAACATCTTCTTACTTGTGTCTGGGGACCCTGACATCTATTTTCCTTTCAGACTAAAGACATCAATGATTGGAGGGTATTGACTGACTAATCTGGTTTGGAAGACAGACAAGTTTACCCAGAGTTAGTTGGTAGCAGCTAGGAAGGTGCCAGAGGTTCCCAATTCTACATCTAAAAAAGCCCGTTAGGTTGGAAGGCACTCAAAATATGAGTAGGGAAGAGCTACCCCCTCAAAGTAGAGCCAACCTTAATGATGTGGGTAGAGTAAAGCTTTCAGGACCTTCATTTGCTGATGTGGCATGACCCAAAATGAGAAGAAACAGCTGCAAACACTCATTTAAAATAGGAACAAGGACTGTACAAAGTATGAATCAAGGAAAACTTGAAGTTTTCAAAATTGAAATGGAATCCTTAGAGATAGATACCTAAGCATTGTTGATGGGTGTCATCAAGTCTATTCTAATAGCAACTCCATGTACAGCAGGATGAAACTGTGTGGTGCTCACAGTTGTTGCCAGTTGGAGCCCATTGTTGCAGCTTCTGTGTCAATCCATCTAACTGAGAGTCTTCCTTTTCTCACTGACCTACTTCCCAGGCATTAGTGAGCTGAAATGGACTGGTATTGGTCATTTTGAAATGGACAGTCTTATGGAAGGAATATGCAATCATGTGGAAAGAATACACAAAGTCACTGCACTAAAAAGAACTGGTTGACATTCAGCCATTTCAGGAGGTAGCATATGATCAAGAAAACAATGGTAGTGAAAGAAGTCCAAGCTGCACTGAAGGCATTGAGGAAAAACAAGGATCTGGGAACTGACAGAATACCAATTGAGATGCTTCAACAAACAGATGCAATGCTACCAACTGGAATTGATCCATATATGTGCCTGTTCTAAAGAAAGGTGATCCAACAGAATGTGGAAATTATCAAATGGTATCATTAATATTCACATGCAAGTAAAATTAGCTGAAGATAATTCAAAAACAGTTTAGCATACATTGAAAGGGAACTGCCAGAAATTCAAGCTGAATTCAGAAGAAGATGCAGAACAAGGGATATCATTGCTGATGTGAGACGGATCTTGGTCAAAAGCAAAAAACAGGAAAGATGTTTACCTATGTTTTACTGACTATGCAAAGGCATTTAGCGGTGTGGATTATAACAAATTACGGATAACATTGCAAACAATGGGAATTCCAGCATACTTAATTGTGCTCATGCAGGACCTGTTCATAGACTAAGGCAGTTATTTGAACAGAACAAGGGGATATTTCGTGGTTCAAAATCAGGAGAGGTGTGTGTCAGATCTGTATCCTTATTCAATCTGTATACTGGGAAAAAAATCTGAGAAGCTGGACTATATGAAGAAGAACATGATACCAGGATTGGAGGAGGCTCATCACCCACTGGGACATGCAGATGATACAACCTTGCTTGCTAAAAGTGAAGAGGACTCGAAGCATTTAACTGATGAAGATCATAGACAATAGCCTTCAGTATGGATTGGATTGCAACTCAGCACAAATTTAGAATACAAACTTTCTCACTACTGGACCAGTAAACAACATCATGATAAAGGAGAAAGTATTGAAGTTGTCATTTTACTTGGATCCACAATTAATGCCCGTGGAAGCAGCACTCAAGAAATCAAATGATGTATTGCATTGGGAAAATCTGCTTTAACAGATCTCTAAAATCTTTTTTTAAAAAGCTAAGATGTCTCTTTGAGGACTAAAGCGTGCCTGACCCAAGCAGTGGTGTTTCAGTCTCCTCATACACACATCAAAGCTGGACAATGAATAAGGAAGACTGAAGAATTGATGCCTTTGAATTTTGGTGTTGGTGAAGAATAGTGACTATGCCATGTACTACCAGAAGAACAAACAAATCTGTTTTGGAAGAAATACAGCCAGAATGATCCTTAGAAGCGAGGATTTGAGACTTTTGTCTTAGGAACTTTGGACATGTTCTCAGGAGAGACTAGTCCCTGGAAAAGGACATTATGCTTGGTCAGTGCAAAAGGGGATTACCCTCAACAAGATGGATTGACAACAGTGGCTGCAACAATGGGCTCAAACACAGCAGTGATTGTGAGGATATGACACAGTGCTGGGCAATGTTTGGTTGTACACAGGGTCGCTATGATTTGAAAGTGACATGAATGCACCTAACATCAGAATCCTTTAGGAAGACTTCTCATATTCTCTTTGAAAAAACCTCTCCTCTCTCAGCATGCATACAGGGCCCTCATTTTTTTTTTTTTTTTTTTTTGAATACTCAATCTCATCTCCTGGTACTCCTATGCACACACTTATCTTCAATTTCTGTGGATCAGTTTTCATAAATTTTATTCCAGAATAGATTTACAGAAAAGTTGCAAAGATAATATAAAATTTCTCCTCCTGGAATTATTACCTACCTATGTTTGGTGCTTAGGGATCCAGGAAGGCAGAGGCATCAATGT